ATGATTTGAACGCATGTGACATTTTCGTAATGTTACCCGTTGTCAAGTGTTTTGCTAACGCTGAGGGTAACATTACGGATTGTTAAATGCGTCTAAACCAATCAGATTTTAGTATTTAACATGAAAGTATAATAATGTATGTTGAATTGTACATTTATTAAAAATGATCATACACATTTGATATTAAAATAACATCTATGTAGATGATTTTAAATAAATACAAGAGATGCATGATGCAGAAACAATTTCATAGTGCGAAATATTCGCGATAAAGAGAATCTCGCGAACCTCGCGAAATTTTCTTACAGGCGAAGAAAAGTATGTTTACACTAACCTGCTTAGCGGGCTATGTAATTTGTATCGATTACAACCGTTATATCCCGAATAACAGAACAAAGATAGACATTAACGTTTATATTCATGTTTTGCATGAAATCTCTCATACCAAATGGTTGAAAGTGCGTACAATATCATACTATTTATCCGTACTTTATGTAGATGGAAGGGGCATGAAGCAGTTGACCTTTGACACTTCATCCATATAAGGAGTTACAGTACCCGCATCGTTATTCTTTACAGGATACACGATACGATAGGATACACGCACGATACGATAGGATAAACGCACGATACGATAGGATACACGCACGATAGGACCGGATACACGCACGATAGGATAAACGCAAAACACGATAAACGCAAAACACGATAAACGCAAAATACGATAAACGCAAAACACGATAGACCTGATAAACGATCTTCACGATAGGATAAACGCAAAACCTGATAGGATTGTTTCAAAATGCGAAACGTATTTTGACAAGACGAATTGTTTCCTTTTAGATACACTGAAGTATGATGATTTTAATTATTCACAAAGCCGCAAATTTATGATTAAACATTTGAGGTAACTCTGCTTTGTACAAGAAACATGTTTATTTTTTGTCAATAATGGATCGTCACCAAATTCAAACTGTAATTATTTTAGATAAATCGCAGTCTGTGGTGGAAATTATGCGGTTGTTTGTATAATTATTCACATGTCGAAATTCCCTCGAATCGTTAAACTTGAATTTTAGTCGTTTAATAACACAGATTTTAATGATGGTGGCTTTTAAGTTTTACAACCAGGTGCAATTATTCATGAAACGCTATAAATATACTAGTATTCAGTATTTTAACAAATAAAACCTCATATATGTATAATCAAATATTAAGTATATCCGGAAGAACTCTTTGTAATAAATGAAATATTTGGATTCAATATCTTCTGCTAGAAGTCTGTAATGTATCCAAAATCGCATTGATTTTAATAATCGGTATTTAATAATTCAAATCTTTCGAAAATAATTTACTAGTCAGTTTAGGGGAAAAAATATAATTTAAAAAAATACATTTTAAAGTTAACGCTGTCTCCTCAAAGCTTTTATGAATTTGCTTTAATTTATATTATTTTTTTACGTTTTAAACATGTTACTTGCAGAAATATGCTAGTTGCGTTGACACAGGCTGTGCATTGGACTGTGATTATATAATCTATAATCTCTTCTATATAAATATACATGTATATGTCACAAATATGTATCAAGTAAACATAGAAAATTAATCATTTACATATTCCAAGTACATACATTGTATGATAACGGCCGAAAGAAATCGAATTTAATAAAATTAATAACCGTCATTAGATCATCTAGTATCCGAAAAGAATATCTCATTTCCATTCTTTTGTATTTATTCTCTGGAATTTACAATGTCATAGGCTTGTATAGGACCCAGAAGGGAGAACGCAGTCGTGTACCTAAAAATGTTACAGTGTACCAACATGTGTAGTATAGAATAAAAATATAATGATTATATAATATCGCCCATCAACAATAATTTTTTAGCCTCTTTTGATTGCTTGTCAAAACATTTCTTTTTAGACCCCCCCCCCGCCCCTAAAGAAATGAAAATTCTTTCTACACAAGCCTCCCCAACCTGCTTTTCCGCGAATTTATTTTTGCAACCTGTCTGCTTTTCCGCGACTACCCCATACTGCAATTCCGCGATTGAATTTTACTATAAGTTGTATTTTTTCAATATTTCCTTGAAATTGTACATCAAACTGTTGCAGATATTTACCCGGATTATCATGTATCTCCCTATAAAGTTCTACTCGATAGTAGCACACTGTGATAAAATTTGAATGAACCACTCACTACACTGGTCGGTGATGTTTTAGATGCCATGGAAATTGTTCATAACGAACCAAATCGTGGTAACAAATATATCACAAACGATGGATTTACGTAAAGAAAGATCAATGTTTTAAATAATGGCGATGTGTCTTACCGATAAGCATAAAATAATTATGCAAAGCCACAATTACAACCGATGCAAAAGACTGCCGAGATAGAAACACAAAGAATGCTGACAACAATCTCAGTAAAAACAAAAAAAAAAAAACAAAAACAAAAAAAACGATTGACTGAAGCCGTTGATAGCATGTAGAAAGAGTTTTTACCTGACTAACGGAAGGGGAGTTTTTACCTGACTAACGGATGGGATAAGTGCTAAAATAAATCGCAGAAAAGCAAAAAATATAATTGCGGAAAAACAGTATAATTTGTCGCGGAAAAGCAGGATTCTTTTCGCGGAAAAGCTGGTTATAAATATTCATATTAACAGAATTTATATCTACCATACATACAGCTACGTGTATGCTAAGCTTATTCACACACAAATAAATAATAATGTAAAATAAATTTCCACAATATGACAAGGAGGTTTTCGGACTGAATAATTGTAAATCATTTCTATTAGACTTTGTATTAATTGTTACTAAACTTATATATGACTATATCGGCAAAATAAATCAAAACTTTGTAAATTATGAAAGTCTTAATCCCACCTGAGGCACAGTCACCGGGGGGGGGGGGGGGGGGGTTGCACATACCACTCACATAAAAAAAAGACCCGATTCAAAAAGCAAAAAAAAAAAAAAAGAATATATATATTGACTTCTTGAATATAGTCAAGTATTACATGTAATCGATAAACATTAATAAAATTAAATTCAAGGCATTTACACGTCTTGTGTATCGAAGCAAAACCGGGCGATTTTACACAAATTTTTACATATATCTTTTGAGGGGCCTTTAATAGCGTAAAAAAAATCATGCGAGGCAAAGTTCGTATTTTTCTATTAGAGTTATTTACCGTATTCTTCGATTAATATTTTATTTTCAATTTGATCAGATCAATCATGTTTAAGACTGTAAACAAATAAGAGGTAAATAAAAGTATACAAATGATCTAAATCAATGTAGTGTTGAGAAAATTTCGCCTATATTTCATTTGATTCATTCATTCAGTTTTTAATTAGTAACTGAAGTGTACATTTTCTTAGTACAGTGTATAAAATCTTTAAGTGTTGTTCATACAAATTATGAACATTATCACATTATCCAGAAAATGAGTTGATGCATTATATTGATACCCAGTAGGGTTCAAGGTGAATACTTGACACCAGGTGAGAGAGCAGTTCAGGTATGTTGACGTTGAATACACACGGGCCGAGGTGTCATGTAGGGGTGGGGGGTTGGGTCTTGACCTGACAGGGAGACAGTGTACTGATTCCGTCTGTCAGTTGCAGTATATACTCAGTTCATTTCCACGCCGAAATAGGTAAGATGTATACTTATTTTTTTCCCCCATTTTCTAAAGGCAGTAGTAAGTAAAAATGGTTAACCATCTACATTATAGTATATAATTATCATAATTATGATGAATTGAATAGAGCATGCTCATGCATTATAAACTGTAATTTATTTTTTAGTTAGACACATCAGAGAAACAAATAAATAGAAAAAAAATAAATACTGTAGGAACTACATACTTGCACGTACAGACAAAATGTGTAAATGTTATCAAGATCATGCATTACATTGTTTATGCCTTTATGAATCATTTGGAAACAATCCTTTAAATAATTGATTTTGCATATTACATTTAGACAAGAGGCATAAAAATATAGCTACTGTATGTTACCAGACGATGCTTTTCAAATATTAATTAAAAAAAGTGCTTCTACTAGTGTTTATGTAAAATGAATAACTTGTTATTGATTAATTCCATTATTGATAAAAAAGATAGGCTTGATATAGATGCTGATATTTTTTTTCAATTTATTTATTTTTGCACACATACCTACTGTTTTATGTTTCTATAATTATCAAAAGAAAGTTACTAAAGGTCTACCTTTTTTTGACTCTGACTGTTTACAGAAATTATAATATTTCTATTTTTGACAAAAAAATATTTCTTACAAATCGACAATTTGAATTAAAAAAAAAAATCGAATGACTAATAGACCAATTATTTCATGTGCTAAATAGGATTTAATTAAACTTTCGGCCGGTACTTGACGTTTTCTTTATTATTTATTTATGTATTTATTAAGTAATTTATTTATTTATTTTCTTAAATTTATATACCAGAGAATCAGATAAGTTATTTATTTCTCTCTCTCTGTTCAACAATTAAATGAATCGTAAATAAAATAATAAAACGAAAAATGAACTCGGGATATCTCGGGTGTTTCTTTTCAAGGTAAAGATAAAAAGCGAGGGTTTCCGAATGCACACGATAAACGCAAAACACGATACACGATAGAACCTGATAAACGATCTTCACGATAAACGCAAAACCTGATAAACGGAAAACACGATAGAAAACGCAAAACCTGATAAACGGAAAACACGATACGATAGGATATGATAGGATACACGCACGATACGATAGGATACACGCACGATACGATAGGATAAACGCACGATAGGACACGATAGAATTGTAAAGAATAACGATGCGGGTACTGTACACACGACTTTAACCGAAACTAACTAGTTTAGAAGTCATTTGGTATTATTGCTCTAGGTATTTCCCATAAGAATGAAGGAGAAAATATTCAGTGGATGTAAATATCATAGTTTGACTTGAGGGTATTTATTTTGCAGGTATGGGCGAGACGTTAGTCACGCAAGTCTGAAACCAAAGAAAATGCAGGAATTACTTCATCTGCTGTTGAATCCAGTGGTTTAATGCAACATGTTCGATTTTTTTTTATCTCTGGGATTATCCGTTCTACAGTAAATGGCTATGCCCTGTTAACATTTCTTATATTGCTTTGTAAAATGGCGACTGGAAACACTTTTCGAACACGTGCATAATTGAAGTAGCAAATTTATCCGATGTACAATACAGAAGTATAATTGTTTGAATAAACTGTCTCATCATATAATTTATTTTAATTTGTCAACCTAGAGTTTTGGAACTTAACTATATTTTATGGTAAATGAATGATAATATGGCATAGTTTATATCTAGCCAAATTTCTTGAGTTCATGTTTCAGCTTATCTATTATCTATGGTGAATTGCGTTTATTTCTACAAATCGGGCTCTGATTCTAGGATACTGGGTCAAGTTTACAGAAATCAATTCTTTGGGGAAAAAAATTATATAAAATGGATAAAAAACGTATAATTTGTGGTTTTTTAATGAAATGTTTATTTTCTTTTCACAAAATAATATGGATACCTGATCTCGCAGTCTCAGATAGTGCAATCCATTTTTTTTTACTCTGGGAGCAGACATCGAACTATCTACCTCTCGTGCACTTTCGAGTTAAAACATTTTTTGCTTATTTTCTCAAAGCTAAAACGGTTGACAAACCCTTGTCTATCATAAAAAAATAGAAATGTATCATCACTTCATTGGAGCCATTTTAACCAAGGATATGCGAATTACCACTCAAATGCAGATTTTTGCCCGGAGGTTGGAGGTGGAGTTAAGTTAATTCATTAATAAGTCTTGCTGTTCATTAAATGATAATTTGCGATGTTCCTCTATTTTCAGTGATAAGCTAGATAGAGGATTATGGATGAAACAGAAATTCTAACAAGTTTATGTCCATAAGGACTCCGAGAAGATTAAGCAAAAAAGAGACAAATAGAAGATCGGCAGGCGTTTAGTTTCCAATGTTATACAATTTACACCCTTCTGTGGCTGCTCTATATAGCTCTCTTTGTTGGGGCTTGGTTACGTGCCATATATCAACCTTTAAGGAGGAGAAGGACCTTGAGCTGAAAAAATACTTGTCATTCAATTTTTTTCATATTTTGTATATTTCTAATTAAGTATGTCCCACATATCTTAAAGCAGTTAAATCATTAGGTTTCTTACCTTATTTTGGAGATTTTGATTGACAAATACTATGCCCTACAGTATCTAAGTGGAGTTTTAATTCTCCATGTTTCCGGGTGCATTACTCTGTCCATAATGGGATTTTTTAAGCATACATAAAAAATATCAAAGTTGACTTGTATCTTTTAAAATATTTCAGAGTATAACTAGGATTTAAAATTCGAAAAAGCAAGTTTTGTCTATCACACTGCATCTGGATAGGGAAAATAACGCACTTTTTAAGACAACTTAAACAATAAAAAACGTAATTTACAAAAAATTCTATCATTCAATATTTTTTAATTTACGTTGAAATGCAAATCCTTCAAATATTGATTAACTGTAAAAGTTTAGAATGATAAAGCTGACCTCATTATTTCACAGGACATTGTTAAAGAGGACATAAGCATGACAAAAACGTGTTATGTTACATTTCTCGAGTACGGGAAAAACCAACTATGACGTCACACGTAAGCTAAATAAGCGAAATAAGATATAGTTACCTACATAAGATTTCCGTTATCAGCCATGCAAAAATAATTTTTGTGTTCCCTGTTTCTCAAAATATTTCATCATATACTGATTATGACCTGTTTTTACATAATAATACCGCCCCTCTGTTCACCGAGTATGATCTTGCTGTACTGACATATCGTGTATGACGTCACCGACTTGTTGGACGTTTAGGGAAACAGAGGGGTGGATCAATCTTTTTCATAAATTGTTAATGTTTACAAGAATGTTGAAACTTTTTTATTTTTTTTTTTTATATAAGATGGTAATTAAAGTTCAAGAATTGTCAAAAAATTATACAAGAACTGATGCTTTACACGTTTTGCGCTTATATAAACGGAGACTATGACGTAGTTAAACAGAGTCATGTGACCATGTGTCCTTCGTCCCCTTAAAATGTAGAATGAAGAGTGCAAAGGCACACATCTGGCTCTAAATTCACTCTTCAGTACATCTTGACCTATGATTTTAACAAGAGGAATATAAAATAAATTATTTAAAAAATTGAAATAAGAAATGTTTTATATTGAAAAGTACATTGCAAATATATAAAAAAGATAAAATAAGCAGATTTTTTCATCAACTTACTTTTTTTTCTTGAAATGAATTTGATAATTCCACTAGAATTACGCATGTGTAGGGGGACATTTTCAACCATGTCAAAATAAAAGTCAAATAGACGGCGATAATACCTTGTATACACAGAATATCTTCATTCACTATTGTTTAGGAAGGGTACATTGTTATAAAATGGGCCATTGTTTACGCAAACTATTTTATCTTTCTTGTCTACTGATAGAAAATTTACCTGTTTATCAATTAAGTGATCGCAGATTCAACAGAAAAGCACATGTGCTTAGAAATTTACAAATTTGTGGGATGCTTCCTTTGTCTGTCATTCCATGTGGGCATTACGTTCTATTTTAAGAATGGAGCTCGGAGATGCTTCTTCTTATACATTTGACTTAAAGGTTATGAATATTTAAAATTTCTCCAGTGTTCTATGCAAATGTGTTTACATTTCGATTTGAAGAGCTACAGAGAGAGCCCGAGAAGCCACGAACGTTTGTCTGTCAAGTGTTGCGTTACACAAAGTATGTTACGTTCATGAAAGTATAAGTTGTCTTTATCCTAGATTTTAAACACATATCATCAAATATTGTCAATTAGTAGGTGAATTTTAGAATTTTTTTTTAATATGAACTTGCACGCTCTTCATCACTACATAAACACTTAAAATTTGATATTTCTTACATAACGTACCAATTGACAGACATTGCCTGAATACTATCGTAACGTTGACGGACAAAACGAATGTCTGTTCATGTTACGTGAATCAAACGGGTGCATTCAGATTTATACGTTCAGTGCATTAAACCAAAAAGTATTTCTATTTAAGAATATTAGTGTATCATAAGGCAAAATTTGTCTTCATAACTTGAACAATAGAATTCTGTAGTTGTTTTCTTGCAGTTTTTAAAACGAGTCTGTCAGGGTTATGTGCATCCGTACATGTTACGATATAGGTTTGATCTATATGAAATAATATTTTTCTTTAAATTTCATTAGTATTTTCATAAATAATAATGTCTTGTGTATTATAATTTCCAAGAATAAAAGATAAGCTTTGAATGATAAATTTTATTGGCTCGTTTCAAACAGGTATTGCTCAAGAAATATCGTAAGTTGACAGACATGGTGGAAATTTTGTATGTTACAACGCGTATAGCAGAGGTTTATTTTTTAAAAATTCAAATTTAAAATCTATAAGGAATCAAAATTTGAATAATGTCCATTTCTTACGGCAACATTATCTTTTTGGTAAATTAATGATCGAAAGTTTATGGTTTATTTGGCTGGCTAAATAGAGGAGTCTGTCAGTGTTACGATCATCAGTTTGTGCATCAAAAGAAGCTTAAAAATCTTTTTTCTTCTACATGAGAGTGAAAAAAAATTGCATTGTTTAAGGAATTGTTTAATTTTATTTTTTACAGATTATTTGTATTGCTAAGCATCAGAAAGAAATCTAAGAAAAAAACGTGTCTACAGAATTCTTTATTTGTCCTCCCAGATGTACTCAAGAGCGAATTTAGAGCCATCTCGGCTTTTATCAAACAAAATATCTATGTAATAAATGTATATTTGATTTTAACATTATGATTCAGTTTCATGACTAATTTTATATCGACGGGGTTTTATAAATTAACAATAGTAACTTCCATCCATAATTATGTCGACTCGACATATCTCAGTGAACTTGAAATAAGACATCACGGAGTCTGCCACATCGGTCTCATATTTGGATGTTTTTGCTGACTATAGACGATAAGGGCCAACTTACAACTAAATTGTATGACAAACGAGATGGCTTCAGCTTTAGCATCGTCAACTTTCCTTGTTTATGTAATAATATTCCGCTATCAGCTGCATATGGTGTTTACATCTTCCAACTTATTCCATACTCAAGAACATGCTCCGACTACGATCAATTTTTAAACCGAAGCAGGCGATTGACAGGTGAGTCTTTATTACAGATATCTCAACAACCTCGTCAGCATTTTGTAAACTCTGTGGTCTTTTTGATGATATTGTTAACAAATATAACCTATAATCGGGTGGTATTTAGGCTGACGTGTTCATACCAATTGAAAGCCCTTTGTTTTAAACTAATTTATACTACGGAGCGTTCCGTCTACCTGATCAATACTTAGTGCTCACGTCGAGTGTGATCGGTCAGTAGGGGATGTTTCCTCCACCTAGGCACCTGATCCACCTCTAGAATTTTCGAACGACCGTGATTTATGCCCTGTTCACAGATTTGTATTGTTTGTAGATGTTTTGAGATCGATCACTTTTTGTTATCTTCACCTTTTTTCACTGAAATTCGGAATTTATTGACATGTGATTCAATTTGCTAACTTTCACCTACACATCAACAAAACCTGGGACTAACTTCAATGGACGAAATTGCTTTATGGTTTTCCTTCTTATCTGACATTATCGAATCAACATATTTCTCGTTTTCGGGTAATTAAAAAAATCATGAAATTATATTAGTAGCGATATACGGACTGAAGCTTCTATATTTTAGACTTAAAAACCTGAGGGATATCAATATTTTCATTTTCACCTCTGCACGTATATAATAAACAACTTTCATACCTTTAATAAAAAGAGATAAAGATATTAAACAAAGATTGAAGAGGAGTAAGCATTTCATGTCGACAGGTCACCCCCGCCGTGAGTCCTCTGTATTGATCAGGTAAACGTGGCAATCCGTAGTCAAAATAAGTGTAAAACAATTGTCAAACAATGAAGCGTGTCAGTCAAGAGATGCAATGATAATTCGTATTTGCAAATATATATATCGACAATAGAATTTGCAAAATGCTGACTTCAGATGTGATTGTCGAAACTCTGTAACTTCATTTTAATTGTCAGTAGCCTACTTTGTTTAAAACTGATTGAACCCAGAATATGCTCCAATGTATCGAATCAGTTGGGAGATATATCGTATGTACAATATACAAGTGA